GCAGCTGCGGAAAAATGGCACAGAGCAAACAAAAGCCGAGCAGAATGGATGCAAACGTGACACACGACATTCGAACAAATTGCGTTGGGCCGTGTGCCGAGCCCTGAAAAGTATGCTAAGGCAAAAGCAAAAGCCGGTTTTCGGGCCAAGTCAAAAGCCACCACCCACCAGCAAAAAAAAAAAACAAGAACTGGCTCAAACTTTGGCGACCGGACCTGGCAAAAGTTTGGCCCGAAGAAAGAAATGGGCGCAAATCGCTTGTATAATTGTCGATGCCTGAGGATATTTCAGTATTCTTCACTCTACCCTTGCTTGGAACACTATAAAAAAATCCTGCAACTTTTGTTTTAGGATTTTCGAAATGATAATATTTATTTGGTCTTTAACATTTTATAAAACTGAGTTTAATTTTTGTCTGCATATTCTTAGGGTATCATACATTTATTCATTGTTAATTCATATTGAATATATATATTTATTTATTTATATTTTATTTAATAAATTGGTTTATTAAATGCAAATAACCTTTTAAAAATGTTAAAACAAAAATTAAGTTCATATAGAGTAGCTTATAAATTAATAAAGTTTTTGAATACCTTAAAAAGGTCTTTAAAAGTAATGCAATTTAAACTTTAAGGACCGTGTTCAAGGTTAATTTGTAGTTCTTTTACGATAAAGAATTGTGTATCCTAATTTTTCATCGCTTCTAAAACCCCTTGTGATTTCATGAGTACTTACGTATACTTTTTAATTCACAAACGTTGAATATTTTAAATATATTGTGTAAAATGCATTTAAAATATACTCTAAAGTGATATAAAAGGGAAATTCTCTGTTTAAATCATTTATTAAAATGGATTTTCTATATAAATTTAAGTCAAATCAGAAGCTTATATATTAAAACTTCTCTAAAATGAAATGCTGTACTTTGGTAGACTAACATTTTCTCTCTGTGCACTTATTCAGCCTTCAAGGACGCGTTTGATTTGCACACGCACGTTAAGCGCAAAGTGCTGTCTGCCTTGCCGGCAGCTCCTTTTCAGGACCTCTTACAATATGCCCCTCTGGGCCGTCATTATTCATTAGACGGCTCACCAGAGAACCAGAGAGTGTGCCAAAACATTTGCCAACGTGCCAAAGTTTGACTTGGCAGGCCCAACACTTGCTCATTCGCTGGCTGTTCTCGGCTTGTCTTAATTAGTGGGGATATGGAAAGTTAGCGCCAGTTTCCTGCCTTTAGTTTCCAGACTGTGGAACGAGGTTAAAATTGTTGAAACCAAGAAACCACTGGGTAACATGATTTAATCGGAAATAACTTGATAATTTGCAATATTTTTTCAGCAAAGAAACTAGGAATACTTAAACGAATACGTGTATAATTTTATATTTAAAGTAAAGGTATTTAAGAGAACGCTTTCTTCCGTGTCGAATTAAAGTAAGAATAAAATTTTTACTACATAAGCTTCATTGATTTTTCTGGCATACAAATGACAATGGTGTGTTTATGAATAATGCGAGAAATTGTTTTCCGGAACAGAAACTATAAGCTTGATTTTTATTACGTTACGCCTAGTTGAGTCGTAAATGGTTAAAGCTCTTTCCTCTGACTTTTTCTTAGGCCCAAAATCTCTTTCTTCCATCAGTTTTACTGCCTTGAGCTGCTTTACTTCCCAGTTTATATAGATGAAGCATTTGATTAAATTTGTTCATATATCTTCTTGGTCATAAAATAAGTCGGGTCTCACAATGCATGTGAGGGAAAAGGAAATGTTTTATATATATTTGTATTTGTGTATAAAAATCACGAGCAATGCCACAAGCAATGCCATTGAAAAATAAATGATTATTAAAGCAGGACAAAGAATTTATGGCACAAGATTTAAAATAAATGCCTTGGGTATTTGTTATGGGGTTAACCCCAGTTGTTGCAATGTCAAGTATGTCATAAATCTATGCTTTTGCTTGATAATTCATCAAGTTGTCGATGGGGATGTAAAAGGATGTTCATTTCTGGCCATGCAATGCAATTTACATAACTTGATATAAAAAGAATAAGGTTTAAGGGAAAGAAAACTATTTCATTTATTCTTAAGAACCAGGTAAACATATTTTCACCAGTAATTTTGGCTATTGTAGTTGATGGCGAAATTAATTGCCCTTGATGAGCTTCTCCTTAGCCAACCGCATTGACGTTTTATGTTTGCCCAACTGCTGGGTAAAATCAATTAAATTTCAATTGGATTGTGACTGAATGACAGTGGGGGTGCGTCAGTGTTTGCCAGGCTCTTCATTCGATGCTCTGGAGTTCGGGGACAATTGATTTAAATTCCATTCCATGCGCCATGCTGCGACTCAAAATTAAATTTGCATTCAAAAGTCCTGGGGAAACTTTTAATCCCGCCCTGGCCCCCATCCCCATCTTCGCCATCTTCGCCATCTCTAAGCCCAGTGTACACGTACTTAAATTATTTACCAAAAGCTTGGCGGTCACAATTTAATGCCAAAGTACTCTGCGCATCCATTTGCTGGCCCGCGACTTATGCTACTTTTCCACTTGAACTTGGCCATGAAACTACCGGGTTTCCCTCTGGCTTTCCAATAACGGGAAAAAGTCGAAGAAAGAAAACCTTTTACTATGGTTTTTTTGTAGTTGTTCCCTGGTTAGTTTTGCGGCTTATGCCCTCGCAAACATTGGCCAATTCCTGGGGATCTCAACTTTAAACACATGCACTTGGCAGCTTTGCCTAATGTCCTTACGAAGCGAGTGACATTGCGGCCAATCCGCTGGCACAGACGATTGATTTTTGTTTGTAAACTTTTATGCAAGCAAATCTTCTCAAACAGACGGCACAGTACACACCACACACCATGCCACACCATGCCACACCATGCCACACCACACCCTCCAGCCAGCCAGGAGCACAAACACGTTGCAAGTTTTCCCGCATTGTTCAATTTTTCAGTATCAAGTTCACGTTGCAACTGCCACTTGAGTCGAGGATTGGTCGAATGCATCAAAACGACAGCCGGAAATCGATGAACTAAATTTAAATTGTTCGCAACAAAACTATTGTGCACTTTAAGGCATTCATCTTAAGGTGCGAATAAATCTATAAATGTTTATATTTTTGTATGCTTGAAGGGTTTTATGATTTTGGTCAGAAGCTTATAAAGCAGTGAAGGAGTCATTTCCGACCCTATAAATCATATATATTCTTGATCAGCATCAACAGCTGAATCGATCTAGGCATGTCTGGAAGAAATGGAAATTTTTTAAAATGTTTCCATTTTTGCAAAAAATGATAAGGGGTTACATCATTAAAATTGCCAAAAACTGGCAAACAATTCAATTTTCTAAAATTTAAAACTGAGTATGCAGATTTATTAACCCAATAAAAACTAGCAAAGGAACGCTTTCTGAATTAAAATTGAAGCATTTTTGGGTTAGTTATAAGGTTTTTACATTTTGATTTTGTCGAAAAAATTGTTGTAAAAAAATATCTATTTAAAGAATGCAACTGTTTTAAACTTACTTATTATCGTTTTCCGGATGCCATCCTATAATTTAATTCTCTTTTTTATGGGCTTTAATTTATTAAATAAAACATCATCATCATAGAAGCCTCACCTCAATAGTTATTCAAAGAAACTTTTCTATTTATTCAGAAACTTTAGAACTTTTAATTAGATTTATTTCATGTCTGCCTTTACCATAGCCATAAAAGACTGTGTATATGAAGCCCTATTGCATATGGTCAGTGGAAATTTCATAAAAAACCTTAATTTTTACATAAAAAAACCTAGATTTCGTAATAAAATATGCATCATTTTGTGGTGCCACAGCTGCTCATCATCATCAGCTGCAGCTGCCACACGAGAAGCGAGTTGCGAGCACTTAGCTGCCGGAACTTCCGCCGCATTGCCAACAACTTCCGCTGCAATAAAGTTGGACATTATGGCCGGCTTCGCAGCTCTGCGAAAAACTCCTCATTCTGTATTCTATTGGTGAAATTAAGTACTGCGTCCCAGACGATAAACATTATTATCAGTTTAACGAACAAAACGGATATTTGGCATTTGTGTTTCCACTTCCGCATGTCTTTAAACCTTCAAAACCGCACTTTGTTGACGCCCCCATTTGGTAATTTTCACTTAATTATCAAATCTATAAAATCTTAAGAATTAGTTTTTATTATTTTCAAGCCGAGTGCACATGCAAGTGCATTAACTTTGGTTCCAGCTAACTCTTGGAACTAGGATTCTGCTTAATTCTCATTAGAAAAGTCCAAGTTGTTGAGTTGGCAGAATATCTTAATGACTTTAACAAGAGGTTCATACTTAGATAGATGGGGTTTTGATCTTATAGTTCTAGGAAATCAATCCATTTATAATATTTTGTCATAGGAAAAGTCTTCATACTAGATTTTAGTTTGGTTATTTGAATAGGGAAATCGAATATCCTGACTTTTAAGATTTTATTGGAAGTTTTCAGGACGTTTGATAGATATAGATTCATTTAATTAAGGATTATGAGTAAGTGTAACTTATACTTTTCCTTTCTAAATAATTGAAGCCAGAAAATGAATTTCCTTTTAATTAGTTTTCCTAATAAATGAATTTCCTTGATTTTTGCAAACAAAATATAAGCTTAAACTCAAACACAAAATATTCGAAGCATGGTCACCCCAAATTAAGAACGCCTGCGCAGTGTTAACTGGGCCGAGAGTGAGAATAAGCCAGGCCAAGAATAAACAGCCGGTAAAATGCGCGCCAATGTGGGAACAGCAGCAACAATTCGCCACTAGTTCAAGTTCAATGCAACAACAAAGGCCAGCAGCACGTGACGCAGATGTGGGGGAAGCCTGCCTGCCTGCCGCAAATGTTGGCTAACAGAGCTCTGCTATTAGGTCCTGTTAACTTGGCCAAAATCAGCGGACGATTGGCGTTGGTCTCGGGCTCGGTCGTCGTCAGAATGTCGCGGCATCTCAAACGATTCGGACGCGAAATGCGAACTGTGAAAATAGAGCGATCTCGGCCAAAGTGAAACCGAATGCTATTCGGATAATATTTCATCCGTTTTCGTACTGAAAATAAAGAAGAAAAATAAAAATAAAAATATACCCATACGAGTGTGAGTTCGCGAGTTCGACATGAACGTGATTCTGTGAAATATTTATGCTAATGTTTGTGCAAGTCAATAAATTTCGAAAAACTGCATGGAGATGTCAAAACATCGGAATAGCGCAATGTGATTTATGAATTGAACGTTTCAATGGATATTTACCACAATAAAGGAAGGAATGGAGAGACCTTCGAAATATACATATTTTGTAGCCATTTATTAAACAAAGTATCAATTACAGCAAGTTTAAAATATAAATCATTTGCGGTTTATAGTTTTGGTTTTGTTTTGTGCATTTAAATTTTGTGGTAATTATCAGGCACAATTTATTTTAATACTATTTATTCTTTATGAATACTTAAAGAGGATTTTTATGTTGATTTATATGATGAAATGTAGGAAATGTATTTAATTTCGCTTAATTTTTCAGGCATATATAATTATTTTGATCATTTATTAAGTAATGCAAATTATTTTGTAATATAATGTAGAGTAATTAAACCCCTCAAAATGAAATATTTTAATTGCAAGAGTTTGTTTTTGGTTTTTTTTTTTAATTTCAGTTAAAATCCTTGAACAATGCAGAGCATTTTTAAGGGCAGTGAAAAAGCATCTCGCATGCAAAATGAAACTCCCACTGATTTTCTATTGAAATTTATTCTTTTCATGATTGACATAATTCTCCATCATTAATGGGGATCATTTCATTCTGGTTAGTTTGCTTTGACGGCATCTATCTATTTTTTTTAAGCGGTAGAATTTTCCAGGAAAATTTTAATTAGATTTTTAAAGAGATATAGAAAAATTTTGGAAAAGCGAGAAAAATTCAATTGCAAATTGACTTGCCAGTCTATACATATTTAGCATTACAATGTATTTGAGGAATTATTTGCATTATATATTTGAGTATTTTTGTTTATATTTATAGAAATGAATCGAATTCGTCGAGCTAATAGAAGATTCAGTAAAGTTTTACAAACAAAAAATACAAACGCAAGGCCTACATGTCGTATACGTAATATAACGTATACGCAATATCACGTATACGCCAAAAAGTAAACAAGTGAATTCTGTGGCAATTAATGCAAAATATGTGCTTCAAATAATATTCCCATATAAAAATATACTTTTTTGTTTCTAATTTAACATTAAACTTGAAGAAAATTCAACTCGATATGTACTACGAAATGTCATCATCTTTTGCTGGCAGGAAAAAAAATTGAGCTACAAAATACATCAAGTGAAGCTCTTGTGAAATTGTGCTTTGCATGTTAAATCAAGTGAACAACTCAAATTTTCCCGGCAACTGGGAAAAAGACGACATTAAAATAAACTTGCCAAAAAGAAGCAATTGTCAAGACTCGAAGAACAAAGCCAAAGTTAAATCAAAAGCAGTAAACTGGAGGAGAAAACAGTAAAGCGAACACAAGCACTCACTATTCCCACAGTCAGGTAAGAAAGTTTCCGAGAATTTTAAATATTTAATATAAATTTTGATCCGGAACATAACTCAGCAGCCTTCCATGAAGATTTTCAGATAATCATCGAGCACTTTGACTTGTGTGCTCGCACGTGGCACAGAAAAAAAAACAAAAGAAAAATTATATTGTGAGCCTTAACAGGACTCTGACTTCCTTCCTATTTTGGCAAATAGAACAAATAATCATGATGGCAACTTTGTCACAGGTGTGTCTTATTCCCTGCTCTGCGGATTCCATCTTTGTTTTTTGTATTACTTGTGATTTTGATTTGTGTGCGCGTGTCTCGATTAACAAATGGCAGATTCTTATTTACACAGCCCCGTGTCTATTTGACCCACCTTTTGCCATTTGCCACCACCACTCAGCCACAACCCACAATTCCACAGACAGCGGTTCATTAGGATACCTTTTGAAAAATGTGTTGACACGTCCTAGCACATGTACATACGTCCCAGCTGGGAAAATTAACTGAAACTGGGGAGGAGTGAGGAAGGTACTTCAAACATTTCTGAAGTGATTTAATAATGAATTATTTATCAGGAATTATTTATTTCCCATATTATCCGATATAATACTCTTTCCAAGGGCTTAAAAGGGGCTTGGAATTTATGACGAAAAATGTGAGACTCTCGAAATTACTCTATATAAAAGAAACCTGAATTTGTAATGTTCAAAGTAATTTAAAAATTATTAGTAAACTTTTTAATAGAAATTATAAAAGAAACTCCTAAAAATACATCTCAAAGTTCATAAGATAAGAAAACAATGTACTGGCAATGATTTTTAAAAAGTTATTACACCTAGAAATTCCTCTCCCTTGTCTATTAATTATATTCCCCAAATAAAATTCGTTGTAAAAGTGTCTCTTGTGGATTACAAATGACAATACCGACAGCTGTCATTTCTCAAGCTCATATACACACACATATCTATATATAAAAATAAACAAAAAACACACCCTGCTCTTCATTATCGTTATCGGCTATAATAATTTATTATACGCTCCATGAGGCCTAGGAAATAAAATTTCTGTGGAAACAAAACGTTGTGCCAACTCAATTTTTTGTGCCACTTACAAATCTAAAAAAAAAAAAACGCGCTCCTGTCGTTTCCGGCAATTTCCTGCGACACCGAGTGGGGCGTGAAAATAAATAAATACCCATTCCCTTTCCCATTTGCCATATTAACTGATTTAGACATCATCAGCCACAGCAACCAAGGCTTGTTCAATGGCCAAAACTAAATGAAGCGCAAATGACAAACACTCGAGTGGGGAAAGGTGTGAGGGAGGGCAGAGAGGCTTTTCCAATTTCCACGGCAGCAACAAATTAATTTTTGCCATCAAGCCATTCATTAGGAATATTCGAATTTTTGCTTCTTAGGTTGTTCAACATAATTGATTTAATTATTTCTTGAAATCCGAGTTGCTTGTTGCTTAGCGTTAAATATTCTTAAATCTTAACTTGAGCTCCAGCTTTTTGCAAATAGCTTAAAAACTTAAATAAGAAACTTGAGCAAACAGTCTTTGGTTGCTTTCGTGGAAATGTAATTTTAACCTGGGCAAGAAGCACGCTATCCTGTGGAAAGTGCAATCACTACAAAGTTGCTCCTCTTCGTTTTTAGAAGCGTTCTGAGAGATGGCCACTTACACAAAACTCAACACACATAATTTGATTTCCGAGCATGACAGCCCACGACAGGATATTTGACTGGAGACTGTTTTCCCGGAAAACCCATTTGCGGCTGAGGAATTTTCAATATCACTTACTTATACTTCGCTGCATTATCTTCAGCAGATTAAAGTTTGAGCGGAGATGAAGGACTTCCTGAAGAGTTATGTAGAAATAAGAGAAAGTTTAAATTGTTTTTGGTTGGAAATAATTTAAAATATTTATTTTCTGCCTTTCGAACGACATTTCCTTATAGTCTTAGCTATAACTTTTAAGTGAGCTTGTAAAACCATCTGCTTTTCAAGTACATTGTTTTTTATATTCATAAATCACAAGCGATATCTTTATTTATATATTTTTTCGCCACGTGAAATTAGTTCGGTGCAGCCCTGGATTTATGTGTTGCTTTTTTACGAGTTTTCTTCACAGTTGTGAGTTTCCTTTACGACACAACACTCCAGTTCTGAGCTGATTTTCCGCCCCTTTCTTCTTTTTTGGTGAAATATGCAAAACTCGAAAACTCCTATTGTATTAGTTTGATGCTGCTGTTGCATATTTCAGTCGTAAAACACACTCCTGGGGCCTCCTAGTTCACTCTCCTCCATCCTAGACACATATGCAAATGCAGATAGGCGAAGGCAAAGCCCCTATAAATAGGCACTACAGAAGTTATTGCCGGGATTTGCATTGTTAATTCGGCCAAGAAAAAGGGGTGGAAAGGTAGCCATAGAGTGGGTACATTGCTCCTCAGCGTAGGTTCATTGTGATTTTTGCTCCCCAAAAAGCTACCGACAAGCTTGCGAACCTGGCTAACCAACTTAAGGTATTATATGCATCATTTAGGGTTCAAAGACCAGTCATTTATCATATTTACTGGTCCGGGGTCATTCTCCCTTACTCGTGGTTATGGTCCTAGTCCTGGTCCTTGTTCTGGTCCTAGTCCATCCTGCCCTGTTTACATAATGACCCAAATAAACATGTTCGTTGTATGATATGTTTCTCGGTGCCCCATGTCCTGAGCTCCTCCGCTTCCCTGCATATTAATGGGTCCTTCGTCTCACAGATATACACTCGGCATGGAGCTTGTACAAACAGGTGAGCCTGGGACTTTAAATGCTGTCATAGGTCAGATGGTTGATTAAGATTACTTTCGGGTTATTTACCAACAGGCAATGCTTAATTGTTATGCCTTGTCTGTGCGATATATATTCCGCTCGAACAACTATTAGTTTAATTTCCGCTGGCTTGTTCCGAAACTATACAGATTTTCAATGAAATTAAATCATATTTGTGTTAACTTTTTGTACCTGCTTTGATTTCGATAAAAGGGCACTTCTCAATCAAATCTAGCTTGTTCTATTCTCTGCAAAAAAACAGAAATCGATTCAATCGAATTAATGGAGCGAGTGGGACACGCACATACAATCAATTTGTATTCACAAGCATTCTCCATGTCAATCACATGTAACCTATACGTTAATTTATAGTTGTTTTTGCTCTTTAAACTGGGGATATTTGTGAACTTAACTGACAGTATGGAAGGTTTTTCTAATGGTGAATTTAAATGGAAAGGAGATTTTTTCCTTATAGGGTTATTCCACTCTGGGAAGCTCTTTTTCAGGGGTGGTTTTTGATTTATTTTAAATAGAAAGAATACAAATAAATGAATAAAATTTGTATATGTTATTAATCATATATAGAAGAAGAAAGTAAAAATGGTTTAAGCTTAATAAATACCAAGTTGAAGTTCACACAATTCTTATACTGAACCATGTTTTGTATGAAAAACTTTGAATATTTTAGGAATGGCCTAGAGGCAAAGCGCTAATAACTTCGATTATAATGTGAAATGGAAAGTGGGTTAATGTTTAAAATATTCCCAGAAGGTTACCCAATTTCGTAAAATAATAAAAAAAAGAATCGATTACCTTGGAAATTCTTAAAAAATAACCGTATACTGTTAAGCTAATAATTCCTCTTGACTTCCATTTTCACTTTTTAAAACGTGACCACACGTTGGCTACGCAATGTTCTTGAAATATTCCCAAAATCGATTTGTAAAACAATAATGTTCAATGTCCGTTATACAAATAATTATTTAGCCATTTATTATTTACAAAACAATCAACAGACAGGGTCAAGTCGGCCATGGTGACCTTCGGCCAAAGCCAAAGCCAAAAGCGCGAAAATAAGCAATTCCGTGACACTCCGTTCAGCGTTTGAACTTTCAACTCGACCAAGAGATACCGCCCCTTCACCCCCTCTTGTCTGGCCTTCAATTGCTTGCCGACTTTTCATGGCAGCGTCACGCAATCTTGTGGCTTCCACAGCGTAATTTGCGCAATGCATTCATTAAGCATTTTTCTCTTTCTGGCTGCTTTTTTTCGACTTTTCTTCACAATTTTAAACTCATTTGCATGGAAAGTTGACTCTTTGCCGGCTGCCGTGGATAATTAGGTTCAGGACTCTCAATGCAGGCGAGGACTCGGAGACGGTGTCGTGTTGTTCAGACAGCTCAGAACACAAATTTATGCTAACGAACTGAAATAACAGCTAAGCGACAGCACCGCAATCTCATTTAGGTCTCAAGGGGGGGAAAAAAACTATGGTTACCATAAAGGGGTTTTTTTTTTTTTTGGATCTGGGCCACAGAGGGGCACAACTTCCTGTTGCTACTACCGTAAGGACTGAGGTCTGAGTTGGCGAATCACTCGGGCTATAAACCACAACAAACGTCAAAACAATTTCCGGTCGCCCAAGTTGACGACATCGTGACGCAGTTTAGTCTACTTTAATAAAGGGAAAAGGTCTGACCTAGAACCAGAATCAGAATCAGTTCCATAACCAGAACCAAAACTGAAGAAAGTGGTAAGAAAAGTTCATCTACGCCAAAAGTTATTTTTGGTTAGCGGAAAACACGGCATAACGTCTCAAAACTTTGGTTCGCGTTGCCAAACTTTTGACGTTATAAATACCCGATTATGAGTTCCTAACAAAGCGTCACTTGCGGAATTACACGGAGGTTTTGTCGATTATCCTTCCTTTCCTTTTTTTTTACTGGAAAACTAAAGCGATTGGGAAATGTTGTTCAGGGGAATTGTATTCTATTTTATTTATGATAAATATTTTTAGTTCATGGAAAAGTTAACATAAAACAGGAAAGAAAGCTTACTTCGGCACGCCGAAGTTTATATACCTTTGCAGAATGAAATTTGATCTGTAGGAATTATTGCAATATAAATTATAAATATTTATGTTAAAGAACAATGAAGTTGTCTGCTTTCATTCCATTCACCTATAC